TAATGCAATCTCAATCAAATTTCCAGCAGCATTTTTTTATAGAAATTGGTAGGATAACTCTCAAGTATACATGAACACAAAATCTTGAAAAAAAGAAAAAAACAAAAACACAATTGTAGGACATATAGTGCCTAATTCTAGGACAATAAATCTATAGTAATTTAGACTAAGAAAAGACTTATAGAGCAATGACACAAAAGTAGAGTTTGGAATTCCAACTTTACACATATGTTCAATTAATTTTGACGTAAGTGTCAAAATAATACCATGGGGAAAAGAGATTTTTCAACAAAAAGTGCTGCATCAATTGGATATTTTTGTGTGAAATTTTTGAATCTCAAGCCTTATTTCACACTATACATATAAATTAACTCAAGAAAAATTGTAGTCCTAAACACAAAATCTAAAGCTAAAAATATCCTATCAGAAAAGATAGACAAAAATATTTGTGACCTTAGATTACATATTTCCAAGACAGGACACAAAGGAAAAAAAATGATCAATTTGACTTCATCAAAATTAAAAAATTTGCTCTTAAAGAAAGAGTAAGAAAATAAAAGGGAAAGCCACTGACTGGAAGAAAACTTGCAAAACGCATGTCTGGTAAAGGATTTGCACTAAGCAATTCAATAGTAAGAAGATAATCACAATAGGCAAAAGCTGTTTGAATGGCAGGGAAAATATAAGAATAGCAAATACGCAAGTGAAAAACTATTCAACATTATTAGTAATTAGAGTAATTAAAATCAACAGAGTTGAATAGACCAAGTATTTGCAAGAGGGTAGGGCCATTGGAGCTCGTCTTTGTTGGTGGGAATACAAAATAATACAACCAGCTTGGGAATTTGTAATGATAAACATCCACTGAACTATCCAACCTAGCAACTCTCTGGCTGTTTATCCTAGCAACCCTTTTTCTAGGTATTTATCCAAGGGAAATGAAAGCATGTGTCTGCACAAAGCCTTGTATGCATATTCACAGCAGCTTTATTCCCAGTAGCCAAAACCTAGAAGCAAGTATCCATGAATTACTAATACACGATAAAAACGAATGAACTGCTGCTATACAGAACAACACAGATGGATCTCAAAATTATTATGCTAAGTAACAGAATCCAGACGCAGAAGACTGCATAATGGTATGGTTTCATTTATATAAAATTCTATAAAGAAAACCTGTAGCGACTAAAAGTTGATCAGTGGTCTTTAGGAGTTAGAGGTTCCTAGGGTTTGGGAGTGGGAACAAGGGATGTAAGAAAATGGGCACAGAACACATTAAGGTGATAGAAATGTTCTTTATTCTGATTGTGATTATGGTTAACCAATGGTTTACAGTTGTCAAACTTATAAAATTGTACCTTTAAAATGATAAATTTTACTGCATGTAAATTAAACATAAAAAATTTAATTAATTTAAAAATAGTTAATAAAAAGTCTTTAATAATACTGTTGTAAGCCTGTCTGGGACTCACTGCTACCTGTTGTATGAGTTACACAATTTTAACAGTCTGCTCAGATCAATACCACTAGTAATTGTTAGATGCTTACTACATGGCAGGTACTGCTTTGAGTGAGTTACAGTTTTTGCTAATTTAATCTTACCAACAACTCTGTAAAGGAAATAGTGTTATCCCTCTTTGACAGATAGGGAAGCTGATTACAGAAATTTAAATTAACAGCTAATAAGTGGAAAATTTATATTTTGAAAGAGGCAGTTTGACTTTAGAGACCAGATTCTTAACCACTACTATATATTGAGAGGCAAACACAGAAAACGTTACATACCAATACAATGCACTATGACTAATCTCAGGTGAAAGGATATGTAAATAAGTTCATAAATTCAGGGAGGGCGAGGCTTGGCTTGGGAAGACCTTATTGGAAAAAGTAATTCTAGTTCTGAGTTTCATGAGACGGGAAGAATTTGAATTGTTAATTAGCGTTAAAAATGTGATATTATTGAAACCACCTGACATTATATAACACACTTTATTTCCCCTTTACACCAATTGTTTTATTCTTGGGCTCAATGAAATAGATGACTTTAGTAATAAGGGATGAAGCAACCGTAGTCTCTCATAAGCAAAGGCTATATCAATTTGTTAATTGCAATTTTGTGTGCTTTAAAATCAAAGATCATTCTTACATGAAACTCTAACATCTCTCATTAGATTCAACATTAAAAGCCATATTTATAGAGAGTTTTTGAAAGTTGAAGGAAAATCCTTCACACTTAAAAAAATTACACCACACACTGGGGCCTGTGGGGATTGGGGGGCTAGGGGAGGGATAGACGAGGGTAGGGGGCTAGGGGAGGAATAGCATTAAGAGAAATACCTAATGTAGAGGACAGGGTGATGGATGCAGCAAACCACCATGGCACGTGTATACCTATGTAACAAACCTGCACATTCTTCACATGTATGCCAGAAGTTAAACTATTAATAATAATAATAATAATTGCTTCAAAATGCAGTTCTCAATCTTTCCAGCAGATGGCAATACAATCATTGTTAAAAAAGTAAGTTTCGACATCAAACTGGAAAAAAAGGCCAAGGGAAAACAAACATTCTTTTTTATTTTGTTTTATTTTATTTCATTTCTTTTGGTTTTTCTCCTCTGTGGTAAGCCCTTTTCGGTTGCTAAAACAGTTTTATACCAAATGTTTTTAAAGTTATATAGCCTGCTAAGGACCTAGTTATGAGCTCCTTTAAATGCTAAGATAGAGATACTAATCTTTTTTTAATCGTAGCAAGAACACTTAACATGAGTTTTACTTTTTTAAACAAACTTTGCAGTGTGCTACACAGCATTGTCAACTAGAGGGATAATGTCGTAGACATGTCTTCATTCTGCAGAGACAGAAGGCTGTGAGTAAGGGATGATTTGGTCAAAATTGTTCATTAGAAACGTAACTCTGACAGGGAAAGGACAAGTGGAAGAATGTAAAAGAGAGGAGTGCTTGTTGGAAAACCAGAAGGGGGCAAGGGGAAGATCCAGAAGAGAGGTAATGGGAAAACTAGGGCTTAGATGAGGAAACGAACTGCCGACACAGAAGGGAAAGAACTGAACAACTAACTGGATGTCAGGCATTCAAAAGAAGGAATAGCCAAAGATAACCCCAGTGTTTTAATCTGGTTTAGGGGAAAGCTCACTAGAGTACATCGGGAGATCGACTGGGCTTGGACCAGAGGGAGTGTTTTCAGGTAATACTGTGCATCTACACAACTTAGCAGTTGACAATTGGGTCTCCTGTTTAGATAAGAAGTAAAATTTAAGAGAGACATAAACGCATGGTGGATATTTGTGGCCATAGGAGTAGATAAGAAAGTCACAGAGAGATAAAGGTCAAAGTCCTAAGAAACTTCTAGATAACGCTTGCGTTTAGGAGAAACCAATGAGACAGTTAAGTTTAGCAGAATTCTCAGGTGGCTGTGGTGTCTTAGGATACCGGGAACAAGAATGAGAAATATTTCAAAAAGTTTGAGAAGATGATTGGAAAAGAGGTCACTGGACTTTAAGAAACTTAATGGGGTAGAAAGCAGATTATCACGAGAAACATTCAGAGTAGAATTGTTTTAGCAACCAAAAATGGCCCACCGCAGAGGAGAAAAGCCAAAAGAAATAAAATAAAATGAAAAGGAGTGACTGTTAGAAAGTCTAAAATCTCTTTTTTAAAAGTTTGACCTCAAGGGAAGGGAAGATTGGGTCTTCTGTTTGGAAGAATTTGGTTCTTCTAAAGAGGAGGGGAAGAAATGGTTTCCTTCTAGTAGTTTGACTAGACAGCAGGAACTGGGAAATCTTTATGCAACAGAGCCTTGAGCATGGCTGTGTCTGCCTGAAGGAGACATTGAAATTAGACTAAAGTTATTTTCCTTTTTTCTCTTAAATAACATGTAGATAATTTAATGAAACAGCATAACTTCATTTAACAGAAGTTTTGAGGATGCAACAAAAATTAGATGTATAATTGTAAAGCATATTTTGCAACCTGTTTCTCATTATTTATTATTAATCCTGTGTCTGCTTGGCTCCTCTCTCTTGCTGATGTCTGAAGCTTTGGAACTATGAGAATTAGTCATGCTAATTACATCTGTTCTCAGCATTCAAGATCTTCTGACGTCGTGGCAAGTGATAAGTCCGAGGGCTGCCGTAGAGTCAACCAAGCATTAAAAGTCATGGGAAGCTCTAAAGCCTCTCTTATGATATGTGAGTATGTTTTCTTGTCAAGGCTTCTAGAGAGTCTTTCATTCTATTCTTTCTGCTTTTTTTCCTTAAGGAAAAGAAAAATTAGCTGGCAACGCTGTGTCTTGTTGGCAGAATGACCAAGGTGTAGAATTTGCTGCTTGCTCCTGGAGCTTTGGTGTCATGGTGTCATTTGTGTGCAAAGGGATCTGCAAAGGCTGCCAGTTGAATCTGTCTGGGGAAAAAATAACATAACTTTGAGAAGTAAACAACTGAGTCTGCCATAAAATATGATAAACATATGGGTTTCATTAAAAACTCATAGCAAGACAAAGTCTTCAAACACAGAGGAAAGTGAAGGAAAGACAGAAAGAAGACAGGGGTATCACCAAGGAAATTTTATCTATTCTTTATTGCACAGTTAAACAACTTGTTTATAAATTCCTAAACGGCTCTCTCTGCCTTTAATTCTTTGAGATCCTGTACCATATCTGTCAATAGTTTCAGATATGTCAAATGAGAGATCAAATTAACCCTTCCCTTCATGTATCCCCACTAACATGTTAGAAGGGCTGTAAAGTCTGAGAGCTGCACAATACGAATTTTCATGCAAATCAAAACCCGATTACAGAGGAAGAGCAGAAATCAACTTTTTCTTAAATCTTTACCAATCAGGAATATAATTTTATAAGCTGGAACTTATTTCTAGTAAGAAGGACATTCCACTTGTTTGCTCCTTTATATATATATACACACACACACACACACACATATGTATATCTTTGTATTTTTATTACTCAAAAAAGTTTCATTTTTTATCTAGCTTTCTGACTCTGTGCTTGTACCTTCAACACTTTCACAAGGATTTTCTGCTCCTCAATAAGGAAAGCAGGCTTGATCCTGTCACGAACACATTTAGCACGGAGGGAACCACCATAGGCCCTGCTGACATGTTTCTTGGTTTTGGACAATCTCATAAGAGCTTCAGGCCTTACAGCATGAACCCCGTGAAGTCTTCCTGGGCACACGCCATGTGCTGATTTTGGTGCTTTCCCAACCTTCTTGGTACAAAGGTAAACAATTCTATTAGCAAGGGTTCCAGACAGCCTAGTTTTGTGAGAGGCTACGCTGTAGGAAAGCCTTGGTCGGTATGTCAAACGCTGGACCGTCTTGAGTGCCTGCAGACAACATCCCCGGAAGAGGAGGAAGAAAACCTCCCTTTTTACATTTTTACAGAACTGATTGATTGGATGGCAATCACATTACACATCTATTATCCTGATCATAGCTTTGGAAATCGTAGGAAGTCAAACTCATAAGGAACATATTCTCAGAATAAATCTTCCTTCTTTCAGTGAAGCTTGTTTGCCTTGGGGTTTCCATGGGTTGGATTTTAAGATTCTTAAGGACAAAACGTTGCTCTTATTCACTTTTTTAAACCCTCTAAATCTTTTCATACAGGGTGTTAAAAAATACTATCTGTTTAACACTTTATAATTTTGGCAGTCTTTTTTGTTTCCTTGTCAACAGCATTCCCCACTTCAGTGCCAGCAGAACGCTGATTGTGTTTGGTGACAAGGGACTGTAGGGAGAGAGAGGAGTCCTCTCTTAGACCAAGGGATACGTGCTTTAAACCAATCTGAGTGATCCTGTCCCCTCACCTATGATTGGTTTGGAGTGGGACAGGTAAGCCAGTTCTGACCAATGAGATTTGAGGGGAGGTTTGTTGGGCCTTTGGGAGATGTTTCTTCCTCTGCTGTAAAGTGGAAAACATAGAAGAAGCCCCTCCCCCAAACTACTTTTTAATACAATTGTGTGAGGATATGGTGTTTCTAGCTGTGGCAAACTCAAGAGGAATCCAAAATAACTGGGAAAAGCTAAGGTATACTGATGATACTGTTTAGCTGCAGAATTCACCAATGCTGGAAATTACTTCTGGACTTCTTGTCATGAGAGATAATAAACGCCTTCATATTTTGGATGCTTTGTACCTTGTAGCTAGAAACATTGTTTTTTTTTTTTTTTTTTTTGAGATGGAGTCTCGCTCTGTCCCACAGGCTGGAGTGCAGTGGTATGATCTTGACTTACTGCAACCTCTGTCTCCCGGGTACAAGCAAATCTCCTGCCTCAGCCTTCTGAGTAGCTGGGATTATAGGAGCCCACCACCACTCCCAGCTAATTTTTGTATTTTTAGTAGAGATGGGGTTTCATCGTGTTGGTCAGGCTGGTCTTGAGCTCCTGGCCTTGTGATCCACCCGCCTTGGCCTCCCAGAGAGTTGAGATTACAGGTGTGAGCCACCGTGCCCGGCCATGTCCAGAAACATTCTAACTGAGGCAGCAATTTAAAAAGGCTTCTCACATTAGCTCCCCACATTCTGCTAACAGTCTGTTATTTTAGTCCACCAGAGACATTGAGACTCTAAATGTCTAAATGGCCTGCCTAATGACGTAGCTCTTAGGTAGCACACTTAACGTTGAAATCATAATTTTGATGAACACTGACATAAGCTATTTAATGCACTTTTAATTTGTACAGAGTCAGTACTAGTAAAGGGTGGCTGAAATAAGGGATGCTGCAATTTTGTGGAATTTCCTTTATTTCTCAGGCAGATTCTCCAAAATATTTATGTCTACTGAAGCCTGAACTCTGCTCCTTCTAACCCCTGTCAGAACTCATGTTAGAGTGCCCAGACCTCAAGATTTGTAAGGAAATTCTTCTTCACATTTGTCCTGTCTTCTTCCTTCCTTCCACTGATTTGTTCTGAAAGCATGATCTGTTCTTATCTCTAATAAAATGCACCTATTCAGTTACTTGAGAGCTTAAATGGAACACACCCTCCCAGAAGCACACCTGCCCTTTCTCTGATCTGTCTTAACAGGGCATGGGAAGGTGTGACTCACTTCCATCTACATTTTCATAGGATTGGGGTTAGCATATTTACTTCACACCGGCTCAGACTTAAACCTCCTTAGAATCCATGGGTTCTGCCGGACTCATTCCCATGCTGTTTAGACTTCATGAGTGCCTACCATTAAATCCTTGCCCCCACTCCCCCACCTCATCAACAATTACTGGGAGCAAGTATGATTATTATTTCTTTGTATCAACATGGATTCCTTGGGAAATGAAGCATGGCAAGAACTTACAATCTAGTGCTTTCATGAGGATAGGGGTGCAGTCTCAGGAAACCTAGAGTAAAAGACAGGTGGATACATGACTGAACCGGCCATAGCTTTCCATACACATGGCTGGTTGCTTATCTTGCAGAACGTCTTTAGGAAGGTTGTACAGAACCGCTGTGTATCAGAATTGTCTGTAGTGGAAGAAGAGAGATGAAAACACTTATTTGCTGGGTTTTTCCTCATCTCGCGTCTCTCATGACTCCAAGTTCACTGGCTAAGGGAACCGCTCTCCTGCAGTTTCAGGCTGTACTCTGCTTGCCAGGCAGCCTTGAGGGGAGCCAGAGCCTAAACAGATCCTGTAAGGCCAGAGCACACGTTGAACTTTCTCATTCTGGCAGTGGCTGCCACACATGAGATCTATGGGAGTGGCTCTGCTGGAGTTTGATACCTGTCTCTGGGGCTGCTCTTGCTGGCTGGAAATCAAACCAAGTAGTCAAGTGTCAGCGTGGAGGTGTTGTGAGCCAAGTTCATTGGATTTGACTGATGCATAAACTTGGTTCAAATCCAGTCTCTGTTCTAAACAGACTGAAAATAGTTCTCTTCCTTTTTATTTTTTAAAACAGTTTTAATACATCAAAGATCTCTTTTTTCTTCATTTTGAAGGAGTTGAATCTCTCTCAGGGGTTGGTATTGTCATTCCTGCTTCATCAGGCTTACTTCAGAGGCACAGGCAAATGGACCAGTGCTTATTTTCATGGATTAATAAATTCAGTAATTCCTATTATTCTAAGAGTATACAAATTATAAAATCCTATTTTGTATTTTTACTGTGCAGAACATTCTTTTACTGCAGGTGATGGATACTTTTTAAGAATTTGAGATCTTCTTGATATTGGCTAATTTGTGTAACTATAACCATTACATTTTATCAGAGCAAAACCTGAATCTCAAATATGTGTTGTCTTGCACAATATGTTGTATTGAGTAGACTGAACTTTTAATTTTCTCTCCTTTGCTTTCATAAAACACAAGTAAACTGGTGAGTTTAAATTATAGAAATCCAAGAGGAATATAAAGCACTAGATTAGTTCAAGGGAAAGAAGATGAGGTTGAAAAAGATACAATTCAAATTATAAAAAATTATTTTAGTTCTGGGGCAGACTTTTGAATTACATTATTTCTTCTTAGCTAAATTTTCCTTTGTTTGTGGAAACTTTTGATAAAAGATTTGCCTTCCTTCAGTGATAAGCCAAACTTCACCAGTGGAATTTCTTCTCTGTAGAAAAAAAAAAAATTTCTCAGCAATATATCTGGAAACTCATGTCTGCAAGGGCAGATCTGAAGACACAAAGCTGATTTAATTCCTGATGTCAGATGCAAATAATTGAGCTGCATTCCTGCTTCTGCTTATCACCAACAAATATAATTTAGTCAATGATTCTTAGTGAAGAGGATAACATTTGCCATAAGCAGTCCAGGAATCCCACTCACTGTGGCAGGGCAAAGCTTGTTGTGCCACATTCCCGTCGTTGTTGTTGTTGTTGTTTGTTTGTTTTTGAGATGAAGTTTCGCTCTTGGTGCCAGGCTGGAGTGCAATGGTGGGATCTCAGCTCACTGCCACCTCCGCCTCATGGGATCAAGAGATTCTTCTGTCTCAGCCTCCCCAGTAGCTGGGACTACAGGTGCACACCACCACGCCCAGCTAATTTTTGCATTTTTAGTAGAGATGGGGTTTCACCTTATTTCACCAGACTGGTCTCGAACTCCTAACCTTGTGATCTGCTCGCCATGGCCTCCCAAAGTGCTGGGATTACAGGCATGAGCCACCGCGCCCAGCACTCATTCCCGTTTTAACTGCATATTGCATTTTGTTAACCAGGCCCTGCATCTCATGACGTTTGTGATAGAACTAAGGCTTTTCAGCTACTCCTATAGCCACAGCCATGGAGTGATATATGATTTTGGTAAAGTGCTCTGAGTTTTGGTGAACGCTGTTGGAATAAAATATTTTCCTAAGAAGAGTGGCCGCTAGGGAAATAAGTCAACTATGAATGATTTCCTAGGCCTAATAATAATCATTTTTGACTTCTAGAAAGAGCACTGTGTCTGGATTTTGACTCATTTCAGTTTTATTCCTGTCTTCATAATTCAGTAGCCCTTTGTACTAGAATGTGATTTCAAAATTTTCTGAACCTCAGTTTTCTTCTCTGCAAAAATGAAAATGCTGATACTAACCTCAGAGAGCTACTGGGAAGATGAAATGAGACGATGTATAGAACTAGCAGGCTCACTGCCTCACACATAGTAGGTGCCCAGTAAGAGTCCCACCTCTCTGTTTCTCTTTCGTTCTCTGCCCAAATCACCATCCCATCAACATTCTTACACACCAGGTATCTGTAGACTGTCAGTTGGTTTACGTGACAGTTATTCCTGGTCTCCTATCTGAATGCCTTCTGCTCTCCATGCTGGAAAAGCTGCCTATTGCTTTTCAAGCTTCCTTTGCATCTAGTGATGGAAAACATATTAGGTTGGTGCAAAAGTAATTGCATTTCTTGCTATTACAAGTAATTGTGAAATTACTTTTAATGTCAAAAACTGCTGTTACTTTTGCATCTAGTTAATACTTCTGACCAATAGAACAAAAAAGAAAGTCTCCTGAGAGTTTTCAAAGAATGTTTTTGCTTTACTGATAGACAGAGCCAGCTGGAAACACTATTTTCTTCCTACATTGAATTCTTGGGTCTATGATAACAAATTACAGCAGCCACAAGAAATTAGAGCAGTTAGCTATTGAAAGGTCTTATTGATACAAGAGCAGGGCAGGGAAGTGCTGGGTGGAGAAGGGCAGGGTTCCTGGTGAGGGCTCCACCCTCGGATCTGTGCCCACAGACCTAAGTAAGAACAGGCAATCCTGTTTCTGCACCCAAATGTTGCATTTTTCGACATCACTCTGGTCCACCATGCCCCCCGTCCTGTGCCTATAAGCCCGAGAACTTAGTGGGCACAGACACAAGTGACTGAATGTTGAGAGGAGCAGAGGAACACACCCACAGACACCAGCAGACATGGGCAGACCAGTGACGGCGGAATGACCTGGACACCAAGGAGAGTTTGGCTGGGGCGGTCAGAGGAGAGTTCGGCTACTGGGTGGTTCAACTCCAGGGAAAGACCACCTTCCCACTCCATCCCCACTTCTGGCTCCCCACCCATTTCTCTGAGAGCCACCTCCACCACTCAGTAAAATGTTGCACTCATCCTCCAAGCCTACGTGTGATCTGATTTTTCTGGTACACAGGGCAAGAAGTTGGGATACAGAAAGCTGTCAAACAGGCCCTCTGCCTTTGCAATAAGGAAGAGGATCTAATTGAACTGATTAACACAAGCCATCTGAAAATGGCAAAGCTGAAGCAGTGCCATCTTGGGTTTCGAGAGTTGTAGACATTCACCCCTAGACACTACTGTGGGGCCAGAGCCTGAAAAATACTCCACGTGGCTTCTGTAACTGCCTGTCTGCATGTTCCTCCTTGGGGTTTGAGCAGCAGGGCTACTGAAGGAGCAAACCATACCCCTGTTGCACATCCAGTGAGAGGGATAAGGGAACTCTCCCATTTCATTATGATTTTATTTAAGGATATGAGTAATAATGATCACTGATATTTACTGAATGCTCTCTGTGGACAGGCAAGTGCACTAACCGCTATGTGGATGATCTCATTTAATCTCCACAACAATCTCAGGAGCAGACACTCCTATCGCCTCCATTTCATAGGAAGGAGAGCCACTCCAAGGAAGACCAAGCAACCTACCCACAGAGCAAGGGAGCACTTTTGAAAGAATTTGAACTTGGGCCACCTGATTCCTTAGCCATTATAGTTTTGCTATGATGAAATAAGAGACCTGCTGTGTAAATGCCCTGTTACATCTCTAAGTTGAGATACTAAGTAAAACAATTGTGTAGTGTTGATATCTGTAAGAGCTAGGTCCTTTAACTGCCTCAAGGTCATTCCCTCATAGATTAAAAAATGAGTAGCTCATATGTGGCAGATGCTGAGTTGAGCCTCAAGTATGTGTAGTTTCATAGGTTCTGATGATAAAGTATGTGTTTTAGTAGCACAAAAACCAGTTACTGTGAGGCTGATTTCCTTACACCTATCTTTTCTTATTTTTAATTAGTCGGCATGTTTTCTCTTCTGTTAAAAAGTGAATAGCTGAAAAGTTCCATTACCTACTACTGTTCTACAGGAAGGCTATATGATAGATGAAGTTATCAACATCTTAATTTGTGCATTTTTTTTCCTCACGCTTTTTTTTCTTTCCTGTCTAATCCAATGAAGTAGGCTTTTAGTTTCTTACCCAGGGAAAGTAGAAATATTTTCATGATCACAGTTCTTCCTACTTTTGCAAAAGGCTAAACTACTTGTCTGTGAACCCAGGTTAGATCCCCAGCAGGAAACTTCCTAGTAAGAGTGAAAAAGGAACTGATATTAGCAGGTGTTTAATCAAGTGATTTAGCAATACAGCATTAGTTAACATAGATAATACACAGTTAGCATAGATGTTAGCATATTTGCAGTAAAAGGGTATTTATGTCATGTGTTCAAACAATTAGCAACACAAATATTCTTATTTACAGTTGAGTTAAAGGTTTCTTCTTAAATGATAATGCTGCCAGTGCTTCATGAAAATAGAGATAATAAAAGTTGAGGGTTTTCACAAACATTCATTTAGAGTCCCATAGCTTAATCATTTCAGCTTTCTACTTCTATGAATTTAAGTTCACTGTTTTCCTCTTTTCTTAGTTATGAAATAATTTTTAAAATTATGGGATAAAGGAAATTACTTTCTCTAAAATACTTGTTTAAGTGGACAAATAGCTAGTCATTGGCCTATTTTTTAAAAATAAAACTTTTCCAAAATGTTGCCTTAGGAAACAAGTCTGGATTTAATTTTTGAGAAATGCACATACAAATTGAAAAAAATGGAAATTCTATCTTCTGCACTCTTATGCACTTTAAAAAACTGCTGACACTCCTTTAAAAAATCAACCACTGTAAAGCGTTTTTTGACCTACACTCACTATCTGTGAGACTATGTTAAATAATCTTGAAAATTTCTCTACAAAATTTCCATATTCATTGGTTGTGGTGGACCTATGAAATTTTGTTTCCTTAAGTCTTGAAAAACAAAGATGCTTTAAAATGGGTTAAACTAAAAACAGCTTGAATTCTGGATGATCAGACTTGAAAGATTCCAGATCTTTGTGTCATATTGACATTCTCTTCTGTTGAACTACCTCAAGTATCACAAAACAGCCATTGAATAAAGTAAAGCCAAATCTAGTTATGAGAACTCACTGCAGGGAGGTAGAACACTACCTTGCCAGGGTATCGGCTGTGCTTCCCAAGGGGAGTACATGTTTACGTGCTGGGGTCTAAGGTATTTCATGGTGGAAAGAGGATAGAGATTGGGTAAAATTTGTGATACAGTAGTTTAATATTGGTGGACAGAGTAAGGTGAGTCTTATGGGAAGAATTGTAAATGATTATTTGACAGGTAATGAGCTCTTTGTCCAAGCAATCAAACTACTATCTCAGATAAATTGATTTCTATGGATACCTTGAAGCAAACAATAATATTCAGTGGTTTACAGCCTTTATCTTTCCTGGGTAAAGTTTTTATGGAAGAACTAAATCTGTTAATACAGGTTATCGCAGTTTGCATTTTTCATTTTGATATATATCTAGTTTACTTTTTTCATAGAGATTCAGAGTTGTGAGTCCGAACTGTTACCACAGTATAAGTAAGCCTATGAGCTTTGGAGAAATTTATATATTGTTAGATTTACTCTACTGTGTTCAGCAAAAAGAGCTGTGGAAGGTTTGTAGTTGGTAGAAGATAGGAAAGATGGGAAAAAGTATTAAATCTGGGGTGGTGAACTCTTGGCTATGTTTGAGGAGGAATGATTTTTACCACTCGGAATCATCTGTAGAATATGATATACCAGGACCATTATCTTCAGTCCACATTTTACAGAATGCTGTTTTGATGTGGGATCAGAGAACTTACTCTGAGAAGGAAGGAAAATTTGCTAGCAAAATAATCAATGGTCTTAGAAGAAGTGGCAATGACAAAATATTTGTGGAGGCAAGAGGCAAGGTAGTTGTGCATATATATCTGCATGACAAAAATGATGTCTATGCTCATTTGCTTTCAGTTAATAAATGATTTTGGCTGCTTACCAACAAAGCATGCCAGTTTCCATAGTTACAGACTTTGCTTTATTTTATGTTGGCTAATGATTCTACTATAAGGTTTAGTATATTTTGGATGGTGAGATCAAGTCTGTATGGACTGTGAGAGATAAGTCTTTGTCCAAATTCATAATTATATTTCTAATTGCTTGTGTACAAATTATATTTGTAGTTGGTCTGTGACTTTACAAGCTTAAATTCTACTGCTAATTCTACTATTAATTAGATTGCAATTACCCAAGGGAATCACCCAGGAGATTCCCTTGGGTGCCTATACCACCAGGGTCATAGGTTTCAAGCACAACACTGGGGGGCCATTTTGGCAGACACTGAGCTAGCTGCAGGAGGTTTTTTTTCTTTAAACTAGCAGTCTGTCTTCTCCCAGGCTGCTAGTTTGGCCATTCCTTGATAGTCTGAAATAAGCATAAAGGAAATTGGGCTCCATTTCCCTGCTAAGGTGAGAAATGCACCTCAGGGGTAGTTAAGTTAGAAGTGACCAGAATGAGTAAAAAGAGCCAATCAATAGCTGTTTATTGACAGTGTGACCTCAGGCAGGTCACTTAAACCAACTGAACCTTTTCAACTGTATATGCAGAAAAACATAATGCTTATCTCTTAATGTTGTTATGAGAATTAAATGGAGAAAAGATACATCAAGCATTGAGCAGAATGCTTTAAGTATAAGCATTAATGATTGCTACTATATTTATTAAAGATTTTTCATAAATATGTTACATATTTACTATATATAAAAATATGTGGGAGAGAGCAAAATAATTGGTGTTTAATTTTTATATTCTCCAAATGAAGAGTTAGATGGATCGGTAGCATCTGTACTAGGAAATCATGGGGGGAAAATATCAATAACAGGGAATGATTGGAATGTGGCGTCTTTTTATAGTTACTGGTATTTTGAATACCTACAACATATGCCTTAGCAATTTTCTTGCTGCTATTTTTTCTGTGATTGTATTTTCCATCTTACAGCTTTATTTTCTCCCTAACTACCAGTGGTATTCTAAGTATGCTAGCAAATGCTCTTATGGAGCATTAATTTTCAACCAGAAAACTAATAGAATTTGAAGTATTCACTAAGTGTGCCAGGGTTTCTTTGAAGAATATTTAATCATAGTGATGATGTTTGAATATTGTTTGCTGAAATCTTACCTAACAAAACTTGTTTCAGTACCCCCTTATTGTTCAAAAGATAAGATGTGGAAAATGGAGGAGAATAAACCGAGGGAGTTTCAGTATTAGAAATCAAGTTGTCAAACTGGAAGCCCATGAATCTGACTTTCCTGTTAAGATTTGCGCTATGGAAAATGGATTTTTCCTTGCAACTTAGTTAAATGATCAAGTAGAAATGGAAAATTAGACAGATGTGAAATTGGAGTTATTTAGAATGAAACACTGCAAAGGTCAAAGTGAATAAATTTTTATAATAAACTCTAAAGGTAGAACAAATGTTATTTTAAAATATCACAACTCACAGTTTGAGTTTGCTTTGATCCTGTTAGGTTTCTTAAACCAACGTGCTGAATGAATTTATTCTCAAAATTCTCAGTGCCACTTACTTTTCATTGTGTCTTATTTCTCACCAGTTTCAATGAATTAATACTATTTTGGCATTTTGGGTCAGATTTTTGTTGTTCAGTGGAAGACTATCAAAGTAAAGAAAGAATTGTTTTTCTTTTCTTGTTAAGTATACAGCCGGTAAGAACAACAATATTTTCAAATTAAAGAGTCATTGCAATCTAACTGAAAACTTCAGGCCAAATTCTGGAAACACTGTGACCATCCTAAAACAGAAAACAAAAATTGAAAACAGATTCTCGTTGGCTTTAAAAAGCAACCTGGCAAATAATCAAGATAGATAATGAACAGACACAGAAAGGACAATTAAGAAAGGAAATATTCTGAAAAGAATAGAAAGAAGAAACAAGTTAAATAAACAAGGTT